TTTAAATAAATGCAAAAGAGTTGAAATTACCCCATTCATGTTATCAGATCATAGCATTTTGATATTAGAAATTAATGATAAAAGATATTGCAAAAATCCCACAAACACATGGAAACTGAATAACACACTCTTGAGTAATCAGTGGGTCACAGAATAAATTAAAGAAGAAATTAAACAATACCTACAAGCAAGTGAAAATACAACTTATCAGAATTTGTGGGATGCAATGAAAGCCATCCTTAAGGAAAATTTATTGCACTGAGCACTCACATCAGGAAAACAGAATGAATAGAAATAAATAACCTGATGCTGCACCTCAAACATCTAGAAAAAGAAGAGCAAGTCAAGCCTAAGGCCAAAAGAAGAAAAGAAATTATCAAAATCAGAGCAGAAATCAATGCAATAGAGACTAAGAAAACAATACAAAGAATCAATGAATGAAAGAGTTGGTTCTTTAAAAGAATAAATATAATTGATAAGCCACTAGCCAATGTTATTTCACAAAGGGAAAAAAGCTCAAATTCATGCAATAAGAAATGAAAAAGTGAAATCACTACAGACTATAGAAATACAGAAAGATCATCAACACTTACTTCGAAAAACTTTACTCTCAAAGGTTTGATAACACAGAAGAAATAGACAGATTCCTAGAAACATATGAAGTACCAAAGCTAGATCAAGAGGATGTAAAACTGCTGAATAATCCAATCTCTATTAATGAAATTTAAAATGTAATTAAGTCCTTACCAACAAAGAAGAGCCCAGACCAAGATGGATTCACTGCAGAATTCTACATGAAATACAAAGAAGACCTAATGTCAACACTCCTCAAACTCTTCAATGAAATTGAAAGGGAAGCAATCCTTCCTAAGTCATTCCTGGAAACAAATATTACTCTAGTACCAAAACCTGAGAAAGACCCAACTAAAAAAGAGAACTACAGACCAATCTCCCTAAGGAACACAGATGCAAAAATCCTCAATAAAATATTGGCAAATAGGATGCAGCATATCATCAAAAAGATTATATACCATGACCAAGTGGGATTCATCCCAGGCATGCAGAGAGATTCAACATATGTAAATCAATAAATGTAATCCACCATATCAATAAAGCCAAAAGTAAGAATCACATGATCATTTCTATAGATGCAAAAAAAAGCTTTTGATAAGGTCTAACATTCATTCATGATAAGAACTTTACAGAAAATTGGAACAGAAGGTCTTTACCTCAATATAATAAAGGCCATCTATGACAAACCAACAGCCAGTATCATACTAAATGGCCAAAAATTACAGGCCTTTACTTTAAAATCAGGCACAAAACAAGGATATCTTTACCACCACTCCTCTGTAATATAGTACGGGAAATACTAGCGAGAGCAATTACACGAGAGAGAGAGCAATAAAAGGGGTAAAGATAGGAAAAGAAGTTAAATTATCATTATTTGCAGATGACATGATACTCTCCATAGAAGAACCCCTAAACTCCATTGAAAGACTCTTAAATGTAATAAACAAATTAAGTAATGTAGCTGGATACACAATGAATAATCAAAAATCAGTAGCATTCCCATACACTAACAACAAAATCACAGAGAGAGAAATAAGAGAAGCCACACCCTTCACACTAGCAATGAAAAAATGAAATATTTAGGAATTACTCTTATGAAACAAGTGAAAGACCTATACAGGGAAAGTTATAATACACTGAAAATAGAAATTGAAGATGATCTCAGAAAATGAAAGGTGGTTCCATTTTCCTATCTATCCCTTGCTCATGGATAGGAAGAATAAATATTGTGAAAATGGCCATTCTCCCAAAACTCTTATAAGATTCAATGCAATCCCAATAAAAATACCATCAACATACCTCATAGATCTAGAGAAATCACTCCTAAAATTCATCTGGAACCAGAAGAGACCTAGAAGAGCAAAAACAGTTCTAAGCAACAAAGGGAAGGCAAGAGATATCACAATCCCCGAATTGAATTTATAGTACAAACCAATTGCAATAAAATCAACATCGTACTGGAATCAAAAGAGAGCCAAAAATCAATGGAATAGATTAGAAGATACAACCACAACTACATACACATGCAATCACCTTCTCTTTGATAAAGGAGCTAAACAGGTTCACTGGAAGAGCGACAGTCTCTTTAATAAATGGTGCTGGAAAAACAGGCTCTCCATATGCTGAAAACTAAAACTAAACCAATGTCTATCACCATGTACTAAATTAAAATCATAATGGATCAAAGATCTGAATATTAAAACAGAAACACTAAGTCTATTGGAAGATAAATTGGGTAGAAAACTTGAAGACATAGGGGTAGGCAGAGAATTCATGAACAGGACTCAAGCCACATGGAAAATACTTCTCAGACTCAATAACTAGGATCACCTCTTATTCAAAAGTTTCTGCATGTCAAAAGAAGTCTCCAGCACAGTGAAAAGAAAACCCAGAAACTGGGAAAAATCTTAGTGGACTCTCCCTCAGACAAAGAACTTCTGTCTAAAACATATAAAGAATTAAATAAAAATCAGACCCCCAAAATTCAAATACCCCATCCAAAAATGGGCATCTGAGATGAATACACACTTCTCAGATGAAGAAATACAAATTTCAAATAAATACATGAAGAAAATGTTCATCATCATGACTCACTAGAGAAATGCGAATTAAAACCACACTGAGATTTCATCTCACTCCTGAAAGAATGGCCAGGATCAAAACAACTACCAACAACAAATGCTGGAGAGCCTGTAGGAAAAAAAGAACTCTCCTTCACTTTTGATCAGAGTGTAGACTGGTACAACCATTGTGGAGGTCAGTCTGGAGATTTCTCAAAAAGCTGAGATTGGAAGCCCCATTTGTTTCAGCTATTCCACTTCTAGGCACATTCCCAGAAGAACTGAAAGCATCATACCGCAGTAATATATGTGCACCTATGTTTATAGCAGCACAATTTGTAATCACCAGATCTTGGAAACAACCCAACTGAAAAATGCATTTAAAAAGTTGTGGTATTTTTATACAATGGAGTACTACTCAGCTATAAAGAAGGATCACATTGAGATATTTATAAATAAATGGACACAGTTTGAGACCATACTCATAAGTGAAATAAATCAAACTCACATATATGAATACTGAAGAGTTTCCCTATTGTAAGAAATGATTCAAATACATAAAAGTATGTGGTAATCATGATTCCCCATTATGTGGCTTTGAAGACTTATAAAGTTTTCACTCATTAATTGGAATGGCTTTATTCTGGGCTGTTTGATATTATTGCCTGTGATGATATGAACAGCTATTTTGAAGAAAACAAGACATCATAGTAGCTAGTGCTGATTTAATATCATCTTGTTTTGAAGTCCCACCAAACTGTTGTTCTGTCTCCATTGGTTTTATCATGTTCTATCTTACTGGATTTTATTATATGTGATAGTATAAGCAAAAATTTTTATAGGCAAAGAGATAATATAGAAACCATTGTTTGTTTTCTGTTAGCTGGTTCTAAATACCCTGTAATACTTTCATCCTCTTCAATCGTTTCACACTGCCTTGATATGTTTGATGCCATAATATACAAAGTTATAGTCAAATATTTCAAGGAAAAAGACACTATGGTAACTTCTATTAAGTCGGGTTTTCTTGTGGTAAAGCACTAGGTTGCTGAAATTGTTATACTTTGACCTGTATTTTATGTTGTTATGTCCTCTTTTATCTCAATGTCCTTTTTTAAAAAAATTGTTTTGTTTATTATTTTTTTAATTAAGGGAAAAATCAAAAAAATAGCAGTATATATTATAGTAACTCTTTTGATTTCCTATTAACTTGATTTGAAGCCGTGTATTGCTCCCTCCATCTTGTTTTGACTGATTTTGCTCTATTCTGTTTTGCTTGATAGTATCTAGTTTGAGGGTATAGGCAACTACTTTGAAGACAATAAGATTCACTATGATGCCCATTCTGGTTTGACTATTATCTTCTTTTGAAGTCCTGTAATGTTTCCAATGTTTAGGTTTCATTGGTCATGTTCTGTACAGTTTTATTCAATTTTATTATACCTAATGATATAGGCAATTCTTTTTAAGGTAGCAAGAGGCATTATAGTAACCATTGTTGATTACCTTGCATTCTGTTTTTACATCATGTACTACGTCCATCCTTTGTTTTGACTGACTGCTTTGTTTTGTCCTATTTGGTTTTATTCTCTTTCAAAAAAAAAGTAAAAAGAACTATAAGAGTAATAAAACCCAAAATGTGAAAATGTTGTTGTAAAAAAGAGAGGGAAAAAGTTCTCTAAAGGATACAACTGCAAGTGTGTTTAGGTGTGTTAAGATAGATGACCATATTACTAAGTTTTTGTTGGATCACTGAACACAACTGTTTGCAGTCTGACTGTTTGAATGTCCACTATGCATGCTTTAATCCTGTAACTTGAACACCTATTCCTAAAATGACAATATGTAATCAATTAACTAGTGATTTCTTCCTGTTTTTTTTTAATTCTGTATTACTTGTATCCTTATACTCTTTTGGGTTTTTTGTCTTTTAAATAAAATTTTAAAAAATAAAATAAAATATAGTCTGTACCCTTGAAATGTGTGGTACAATCTCACTTCCACTAGAACAGAAAAGAGCCACACAAATCCTATCTGAATGAATCAATGACACAGTCACAATCTAACCTCTGTGAGTTTACCTCTAGCTAACCCCTCTGCCCTCATCACCACCCAACCTTTCCCTGCTTTGAACAAATTACTTTCAAAATGAGTTAGTGCTGTGCTTTGACCTGAAGCAGAAAGCCAGTTACAAAAGGGGATTGCATATGTTGTAGCAGGTTCATTCTCCTCTGTTTTCAAAGGACTCACAGGTCAATGTCCACTGTTCACTGGAAGCATTGCCAAAACAAGAATTTTCACAAAGTAGATCATTAACAGCTTTAAATGCAGAATGCATCTTGGCAAAATACTTAAAGTCTCTGTGACTTTAAAGAAAATAGCTGTGTCACTGACCTGAAAATGACTTAGGGATGTAGTTTAATAGCCTTGTTGCAGAGAGGAAGTGGGGCTACATAAGAATAAAGTGGGTGAGGATCAACACTGTTTAGGGTGTCTCAGTGAGATGAAACACATTTTTGTAGAACCTATATAGCTACAATCATTTGCTCTCCTGAAGGGGATAGTTATTCAGGCTCCATGGCCTTTCAGGACCTCCTAGAGCAAGTTGGAAGCCTAGGGAGATTCCAGACTGTTCAGATGATTTTTTGTATCCTCTACAGTATTACAGCATCCATTCATATATCATTGGAGAACTTCACTGGGGCCGTCCCTGATCATCGCTGCTGGGTCCACATCCTTGACAATGACACTGTCTCCGACTATGACACTGAGTTCCTCACCAAAGATGCCCTTCTGAGAATCTCCATCCCACTGGACCCAAACCTGAGGCCAGAAAAGTGCCGTCGCTTCACCCACCCACAGTGGCAGCTCCTTCATCTGAACAAGACCTTTGCAAACAAGACTGAGCCAGACACTGAGCCTTGTGTGGATGGCTGGGTGTATGACCAAAGCACTTTCATCTCCACCATCGTGACTAAGGTACAAATTTTCATTTTCCAATTGTGAATTCTCAATTTGGCTGTTTAGAAGCAGCACGCTCATCAAATATACTTTCAACTTTTAATTGCTGTCTAGATGCTTAGTTTTCATTTTTCCAGCAATGTTGATTGCTTTGCTATTAACTGTAAAACATATGCACATTTAATAAGTGTAATGAATTAAATAATAAGACCCTTCTCTCATAGTGCTTTCATTTTGAGGAGGGCCACAATTTAAATAAGTTATTAATAGCTTTTGTTATAAATGTTATGCCAAGTCAGTAATATCCAGCCTTGATTTCCAATTAGAAGCACATGGGAGATTTATAAAAACCTCACTTCCCAGATTGTAGAACTAGGATAATCACATGAGATGTTCTACAGTGATATGCGAGATTAAGTAAGTTGTTAAAGATCTTCACATGCTGGTACTGTGTCCAAGTTTGAGAACTTCCTAATCTGAGTTTAAACTGATAATTAATATAAACTACAGATTTGGGGCATTCTCCTGGACAGAGTTACACTTAAGCTGAAAATTATGTTTAAGCTGAAATCAAGAAATATTGAAAATAGAAGCAGAACAGGAAAATAGGGGACTGAAACAATGAAACTTGTAGGCCATGTTAGGAAGGAATTTTCATTAGGTTTCATTGGGAACCTTGCAAAATTACAAGATCTTCTACACTGATTTTCTTTTTTTCCAGTGGGACCTGGTATGTGAATCCCAGTCATTGAGATCAGTGTCTAAATTCCTGTTTGTAGCTGGAATGTTAGTGGGAAACGTCCTATGTGGTCATTTAACAGACAGGTAAGAGTTTCTGCTTACAGCTCTCTACTAATAGATATTTTCATAACCATAAGAGTCATCCATTATTAAATGTTTATTTTCAAATTACAATGTTTTGGGGCTACCTTGTCCTCAAGGATCAGCAAACACAAATGAAAATTTTCAGTCAGTGTGGTGAGTGATATTTTTATAAGTGTCATTTCTATGTTCTAAGACTCTTAGTTACTTTTCTCATTACTCAGACAAAATCTCCAACACCCAAAGTTAAAGCAGGAAATATTTATTTGACTTACAACTTGTAGAGGTTTCAGTCTATAGTTGGCTGGCTCTAAGGCAGAGTGCCACATGGCAGAGAGATATCACAATGTTCATTGCAGGCAGAAGACAGTAAAGACAAGCAAGGGGTGATAACAGCTCTTTCTCTCCCTTATATCTTACCCAGGCTACTTAGAATAGATAGCACTCACACCCTTCATTCTGGTATCCTTGAGCCCTGCTACCATTGCACAATGAATCAGTCCCAACATCACGCACTCTAGATCCAGCCACCTCTGAAAATCTCCCCCCTACAACTGCATGAAGCTTTGTGGGGACATCTAGACACAAAACATAATATTCCACCCCAAGCCCCCCACCAAAACTCATGCACATTATTTTTTATTTATTTATTTAAAGAAAAAAAGCAAAACAGTAAAAAGGGTAGAACACAGAATTTCAAAATAAATTAATGCTAAGAAATCACTAGTTAATAAACCACATATTGTCATCTTAGAAATAGTTGTTCAAGCTCTAAAATTAAAGCATAGAAAATGGACAATCAAACAATGGGAGTGCAAACCGTTCTGTTCAATGATCCAACAAAAACTTAGTAATGTGGTTATCTATCTTACACACTTAAACATATAAACAATTAAATCCTTTCCTTCCCTTTCCTTTCTTATAATACCTATTATACATTTTAGAAATTATTACTCCTACAGTTATTACATTTTACATCAGAGAGACAAAGTGATATTCATAAATATGATTCTAATATATTTCACTTATAAGGATAGTGTCAAGTTGCAACCATTTACTCTATAAAGGCCTCAAGATCATCCTTATTTATAGTTAAGTAATACTTCATTGTATAAAAATACATTTTTATAATTTTTTATTTTAAAGAGATTAAGATAAAAGAGAACATAATAAAGCAGATCAGAACAGAAAAATTTAAGCAACAGTATTTCACCATAAGACAACCCAATAAAACAGTAGCTACCATAATGTGTCTTTCTTTGAAGTAGTTGAGCATACCTTCACATACAATAGTATCAAACATAACAAAATATAATAAAACCATTCAAGAGAATGAAAATACTACAAGGCATTCAGAACCAAATAACAGAAAATGAACAATGGCTATTATATTATCTCATAGTCTTTAAAAAATTATTTATACTATCACACATAATACAATCCAATAACATACAACATGATAGAACCAGTGGAAACAGAAGAATAAAGGCATGGCAGGACTTCAAAGCAAGATGATATTAAATCAGCACAGGTTATTATAATGTCTTGTTTTCTTCAAAATAGCTGTTCATACCATCACAGATAATAAAATCAAACAAACCAGGATAAAACTATTCCAACTAATGAATTCAAACATTATAAGGCTTCAAAGCAATGTAATGGGGAATAATGATTATGATAAAACCTTATGTACTCTTACCACTTCTTTTTTTTTTTTTATTTAAGAGGAAAAAGAGAAAAACACAAAACAAACCAAAGCGGCGTAAGGGTACACGCAATACAGAACTACAAAACAAAACAAAACAAAAAACCATAACAGTAAGAAATTACCTGCTAGTAGATTACACACTATTTTCTTGAAAATAGTTCCTCAAATCACAGTATCAAAGAACACAAGGTGGACATTCAAACAGGGAGACTGCAAACAGCTGTGTTCAATTTTCCAAAAACATTGATAAAGTCAGCTATTTAACACCCCCAAACACACTTGCTGTTATATCCGTTAGAGCTCCTTTTCTTTTTTTTTTCCCTCTCTTTTTTACAACAAAATTTACACATCTTGGATTTTATTACTCCTTAGTGCTTATTACTTTCTTTGGGGGGGGGGGGAGAATACAGTCAAATATGGCAAAACAAAGCTGTCAGTCAATACCAAGGATAGACGTAGCACATGGTGTAGAACAGAGTACAAGTTTATCAACAATGGTTATCAACGTTGTCCCTTGTTTCCTTAAAAAGAATTGTCTATCTTATTAGATATTATAAAGTTGGACAAAACAGTAGAGAACAAGACCAATAAAACTTAGGCATTGTAAACATTACAGGACTTCCAAAGAAGACAATAGTCAAACCAGAATGGGTATCTTAGTGAATCTTATTGCCTTCAAAGTAGTTGCCTATGTCTTCAAACTTGATACTATCATATAGAATGGAACAGAGTCTAATCAGTCAAAACAAGATCGTGGGAGTACTACAGGACTTCAAAACAAGTTAATAGGAAATCGAAAAGAGTTACTATTTATATATCCTAATTTTTTTGAATTTTTTCTTTAATTAAGACAAACATAAGAAATGACTAAATAATTTTTTTTGAAACAATAAGGGGGAGATTGAGATAAAACAGGACATAACAATATAACAATAGAGGTCACAGCATGACTGTTTCAATAACCTAGTACTTCACCACCTTATAACCTGACTTAATAGTAGTTACCATAGTGTCTTTTTCCTTGAAATATTTGGGTAAAACTTCATATACTCTAGCTTCAAATATTTTCATATCAAGAAGCCCAGAATAAAGCCTTTCTAATTAATGAGTGAAAACTTTATAAGGCTTCAAGGCCACCTAATGGGGAATCATGATTACCACATATTTTTATATATTTGAATCATTACTTACATTAGGGAAACTATTCCGTATTCACACATGCGAGATTGATTTATTTCACTTATGAGTATGGTCTCAAGCTGTGCCCATTTATTGATAAATATCTCAATGTGATCCTTCTTTATAGCTGAATAATACTCCATTGTATAGAAATACCACAACTTTTTTATCCATTCCTCAGTTGATGGGCACTTGGGTTGTTTCCAAGATCTGGCGATTACAAATTGTGCTGCTATAAACATAGGTGCACATATATCACTGTGGTATGATGCTTTCAGTTCTTCTGGGAATATGCCTAGAAGTGGAATAGCTGGAATAAATGGGATTTCCAGTCCCAACTTTTTGAGAAATCTCCAGACAGATCTCCACAAAGGCTGTACCAGTCTACACTCCCACCAGCAGTGCAGGAGAGTTCCTTTTTCCCCACAGCCTCTCCAGCATTTGTTGTCAGTTTTCTTGATCCTGGCCATTCTTTCAGGAGTGAGATGGTATCTCAGTGTGGTTTTAATTTGCATTTCTCTAATGACCAATGATGATGAGCATTTTTTCATGTATTTATTTGCCATTTGCATTTCTTCATCTGAGAATTGCATATTCATCTCAGATGCCCATTTTTGGACTGGATCTTTGAATTTCGGAGGTCTGAGTTTCTTTAATTCTTTGTATGTTTTAGACAAGAGGCCCTTGTCTGAGAGAGAGTTCACTAAAATCTTTTCCCAGTTTGTGGGTTTTCTTTTCACTATGCTGGAGATTTCTTTTGACATGCAGAAACTTTTTAATAAGAAGTGGTCCCAGTTATTGATTCTGGGAAGTATTTCCCGTGCGGTTTGAGTCCTGTTCATGAATTCTTTACCTACTCCTATGTCTCCAAGGTTTCTACGTATTTTGTCTTCCAATAGATTTAGTGTTTCTGTTTTAATATTCAGATCTTTGACCCATTTACATTTTAATTTAGTACATGGTGATAGACATGGGTCTAGCTTTAGTTTTCGGCAAATGGAGAGCCAGTTTTTCCAGCACCATTTATTAAAGAGACTGTCGTTCTTCCAGTGAACCTGCTTGGCTCCTTTATCAAAAATAAGGTGGTTGAGTGTGTTCGTAGTTGTGGTTGTATCTTCTAATCTATTCCACTGATCTTCAGCTCTGTTTTGATTCCAATACCATGTTGATTTTACTACTGTTGCTTTGTAGTATAACTTCAAGTCAGGGATTGTGATGCCTCCTGCTTTGTCTTTGCTGCTTAGGATTGCCTTTGCGATTCTAGGTCTCTTCTGGTTCCAGATGAAATTTAGGAGTGATTTCTCTAGATCTATAAGGTATGTTGATGGTATTTCTATTGGGATTGCATTGAATCTGTATAACAGTTTTGGGAGAATGGCCATTTTCACAATGTTTGTTCTTCCTATCCATGAGCAAGGGATGTCTTTCCATTTTCTGAGATGATCTTCAATTTCCTTTTTCAGTGTATTATAATTTTCACTGTATAAGTCTTTCACTTCTTTCGTAAGAGTAATTCCTAAATATTTCATTTTTTTGCTTGCTAATGTGAATAGTCCAGTTTCTCTTATTTCCCTCTCTGTAATTTTGTTGTTCGTGTATAGGAATGCTATTGATTTCTGAGTATTGATTTTGTATCCAGCCACATTACTGAATTTATTTATTGTATCTAAGAGTATTTCAATGGAGTTTAGGGGGTCTTCTATGTAGAGTATCATGTCATCTGCAAACAATGATAATTTAACTTCTTCTTTTCCTATCCTTACCCCTTTTATTTCTCTTTCTTGCCTAATTGCTCTGGCTAGTACTTCCAGTACTATATTAAATAGGAGTGGTGATAAAGGACATCCTTGTCTTGTACCCGATTTTAAAGTAAAGGCTTTCAATTTTTGGCCATTTAGTATGATGCTGGCTGTTGGTTTGTCATAAATGGCCTTTATTATATTGAGGTAAAGACCATTTATTCCAATTTTCTGTAAAGTTCTTATCATGAATAAGTGTTGGACCTTATCGAAGGCTTTTTCTGCATCTATAGAGATGATCATGTGATTCTTATTTTTGGCTTTATTGATATGGTGGATTACATTTATTGATTTGCGTATGTTGAACCATCCTTGCA